GCCGGGCGGGATGGTGACGAGGAGATCTCGCGTTGTGGCCGCGGCGGCCGCGGGCGGCGGCGGCGACAACGAGGGCGAGGGCGAGGGCGAGGGCGAGGGCGAGGGTGGGGGCAAGGGTGAGGGCGAGGGCGAGGGGGAAGGCGAGGGGGAGGGCGAGGGCGGGGGCGGGGGCGGGACTGGCGGCGGCGGGGAAGCGACCACCGCTGCCGTCGCTTCCGCTGTCGCCACCGCCGGCACCGCCCCAGCCGTCGCCACCACGGGCTCCCCCGCCGCCACCGCCCCCGTTGCCGCCACCGGCCCCACTTCCGCGGCAGCAGACGCCGCCACCGCCGCCACCGCCACCGGCCCCGCCGTCACCGGCTCGGAGGTGGCGACCGCGGCGGCGGACACCGATGCGGCGGGCACCGACGCGGCGGGCACCGACGCGGCGGTCGCCGACACCGCAACAGCCGAGGCGCAGCCGGGCGCGGGACTGCTCCGGATTGTCCACACGTTCCCGTCCGCCCACTTGATGGCGCTGCCGTTCCAGCTGCCGGTGAGCGCGGCGGGGCCGCCCTTGGCCGAGAAGTTCGCCTCGATCTCCTTGCCAGTCACGAGCGCGCGGACCGCCCAGGCTGCACCGCTCGTCCCGTCGGAACCCGTGATGTTTGCTGCGCCGCCCGCGCCGACCTCCGCAATGGCGCGAGGGCAGCCAGGATGCCTCGGGTCGTCAAAGAGGCCAAAGGGGGCCTCGTGCCGCTTCGCCAGCGCCTTCTTCAGCTCCGCCTGCAGCACCGACTTTGTGAGCTTGCCGTCCGGCGCGAGCGCGTCAAACTGGTCCAAGACCGCCTGCAGGACGTGCTGCGGCAGGTGGGGCGCCGACGACGTCTCCTTCGGCGGCCCCTTGCTCGACTCCTTGCTGCTCTTCCCGCCGCTCTTGTGGACGCCGGACGAAACGGCGGCCAGGCAGAGGGCGAGGAGCATCGACGTGCACGGCGGGCCTGGCACTGCGCCACCACAGAACTTGTGGCTCGCGGCGAAGTTTTTTCTTTTCGCCACAATTGGCCAAAGGTTACAAATGTATTGTCCGCTCGAGCGAACTCGTCGGGCCACAGGCTACCGAGCGCCTCGTGTTGATCCCAGCCATCCGCAAGGACAACACGACTGGCTACAAGAAGTGTGACCTTCTACCGCCCAGCAGCAAGAAGTTCAAGGCGCAGGTGAGGGATGGCGGGAAGATGGTCCACCTCGGCTACTTCGACACCGCCGAAGAGGCGGCCACCGCCTACGCTCGCTCAGAGTGCGGCCGCGCCGACGCCGCCAAGCTACTGCAGCCTCACCCGGCTCCCACTGCCGCTGGCCTCGAGGCGATACGGCAAGCGGAGAGGGAGGGCCTCACCCTGGTCACCAGCGGCAGCACCAGCACCAGCTACAAAGGCGTGACCTTCTACCCGAAGGAGCGAGGAAGCAAGAAGTACAAGCTGCAGGTGACGCGGTTGGCGGCAAGAGTGTCCACCTCGGCATGTTCGCCACCGCCGAGGAGGCGGCGCTCTTCTACGCCCGCAGGGAGGCGGGCAGGGACACCAGCGATCTCACCGCGCCGCCGCCGCCGCCGCCGCCACCCGTGCCTTCCTCTGCTGCTGGCACCGAGGCAGTCAGCCAGGCGGGGAGGGAGGGCCTGAGTCTGACTACGAGCGGCAGCAACAGCGGCTACAAAGGCGTGACCTTCTGCCCGAAGCAGAAAGGCAGCAAGAAGTACCAGCTGTCGGTGTGGGTTGGCGGCAGGCAAGTCTTCCTCGGCATGTTCGCCACCGCCGAGGAGGCGGCGCTGGCACGTGCGCGGCACCTGTGGGACACGACCGTCCGCCTGCTCGAGCCGCAGCCGGAGCAAGCACCGCCGCAAGGCGCAGCAGGGCCGTCCGAGGCCAGCAGCGTCGAGGAGGAGGACGGCTTCGACCCAGCGGACATTGCCGACGCCGTGGCTAACTCGCTGCTCCACGACCCGCCTTCCGCGAGCGAGCAGAGGGCGGCGAGGCGGCAGGCGCGCGCAGCACGCAGAGCAGGCGGTGAGGGCGGGGGCGGCGGCGATTTGTGTTGCCCCGCCGTGCGACGACGAGGTGAAGGCGGAGGTGGAGAGCTATAGCGAGGAGGAGTCGGAGATGGAGGTGGAGGCGGCTACCGCAGCAAGGGCGGCACCGGCTGCAGCTGAACATACCGAGTGCGTCATTTGCTTGGATGACCTGAGCGCACACCCTCTTTCGCCTTTCGGCGCAACTCCGCCCTCCTCGCGGCATATTTTGGCCCCTCGAGTTTATCGAGCTCTCCTCGCGCAAGGACGACTCTTCCGACGCCCACTGCGATCATTTGCCGCCAAGTCATATCGTTGCTCAGGTCCACTCTCTCTTCGAACACTTGTGCCTCCATGGATGATGCTGGCGCTGGGGTCCCCTTCGGGTGCATCGTGACAGCTGACGACGGGATTACCACAGGTGCTTAGGGTACCCCTGTAGGGTTCTGAGGGCCGGATTTTTAAGACCTTTTAAGAAATGAGGAGATTGGGGGGCTGAAATTGCCATTTAAGAGATTGCAGGCACGGGGGGTCCCTCTTTTAAGACCGTTTAAGAAAATCGGCCTCACCGGCCATGCGTCGCTGGGTTCCGCGCCGTTTTCTCCAATACCGCCGTTATTAGGCACAAAACCGCCTCTGAAGACACATCTGTAAGCCATACTCGCAGAGGGGGCGCGTGCTAGCTGACTGTAGCCAGCTTCCCGGCCTCCGGCGTCTACCGGGAGCCTCCCGGATCATCGACCTCGGGAGCTCTCCCGCACCGTTTAACCCTTTTGCTTCATAAGGTTCCTGGAGAACAAATCTCGATATATCTCCAGTCGTAGCGGTGGAACTTTAAAACGGCTCGGTAAATATTTAGCCATGTATGAGAGGATTACGCCACAGTGTCGTTTGGGTCGACAGTAAATCTCCCACAGCCCACGTAAATCCGTCTTTTTCAGGCACCCGGAGCCCTCCGCGGCCGCTTCTACGCCGGCGAAGCACCATCAAGCTGCTGTACGGCCCCGGCATCGCCTCCCCTGGCTTAGCTCTCAGTCAAGATATTGAGCACCTGGGTGGTCTCTACAATATACTCACTGACACTGAACCTCCCAGAGCTCGTCCCGGTCCGCCACGGCCATCCTCGTCCTCCGGCGGGCCCCCGGCCGCGGCGCGGTGCGGCGGCGTCACAAATCCGACCACAGAGCACCGGGACGCGGTCGGGCGATCTGAGGCCCAAGTAGGCGAATGCATTGCCCATCCAGGGCTATCACCTGGACCTATCAACAGGCGCCTGCGGCGCCGTGCTCAGGAGTTGGTTTTCACTCGCTCGAAATGTGTACGTAAAAGGGTTAAGCGTTTAAGACCGTTTAAGGATTCGGCGGCCCAGCAGCTCTTAAAACCTGCCTAGGCAGGTTTAAGCCGTTTAAGCCGCAGGCGCCCCAGGGCCCACCCTTTTAAGCCTAGGGGTACCCTAAGCACAGGTGTTTCGTCCTCCTCGGGGTCGTCTTCCCCGGCTTCCTTGCGTTCGGCGTGGCTCACCCTCCATGCCGTGAACAGGCGCTTTATCCACCCTATATTCTTCTCTCGTTCCTCTGCCCGTGCCTTGGTCTTGTCGTTGTTTCGCACCCATGTCTGTATGGCAATCGAGGCTGCCTTCCGCTTGAGCACTTGAGCACTTGATAGGGTCGATTCCGCATGGTACGGGACCCCTCGTGCCCTCGATCGTCTCGCCCTCCCTCACTGGTGTGGTCATTGGGGGGGGTCATAACAAACACGGTACAGGATCGAGGTGCACGCTGCTGAAGGTGAAGCAGTATCGTCCCCCCTCTCCCCGACGGCGATGGCGGTGTGTGACCGATCGAGCTACAAGAGGAGCTTGTTCAGCAGGAAAGGCTTCCCCACTACCCTGTAGTTCACTCGTCACCTCTCCCGCGAGCTCCCCTCTCTCTCTTTCGGGTATGGAGTCCGTGAGTCTGTGCGGGCAGCGTGCAGGCAATCACGGGCGCTATTTTGTCGTACTCCTCTTCGGCGAGCGCTCCGAATCTAGACCCTATTGCCTTTACGGAGGCTGCCCTCGCGCGTCTCAGGAATGTGGCGGTGTCTTTTGAGTCCGGCGCCGCCCGTTCGACTCTTGCTGTCGCCCTCGCCGTGTGTTTGTCAAGCTTCCGCATGAAGTAACGCGCCTCTTCCTTACTTATTTCCAGCGCAGCTGCCGCTCAGTATGTGCGCCAACGACGCCTGTGGTGGCTCGCTGTCTTCTTGTTTCCAGTCGTCCCAGTCTCTCAGTTCTCCGAGTCTCCTCCTTGCCTCGCGCGCCTCTTTTGAGAGAGAGAGAGATTTTTAGCAATACCAAACAACTCTTTTGTTTTGCTCTTTTGTGGCCTCATCCCTGAGAGAGAGATTTTTATTAACCAACAAGAAATCACGACTCTCACAGTGATTTGGGCTCGGCAGCTTGTTAGCCCTCAGCCGAAGCTGGGGCCGGTCCCGTAGCCGAGAGAGCCCGCGCCGTCCCTATAGCCGCCTTTCAGAGAGAGAGAGAGAGGATATTTGTTTGTGTGTCAAATAAGCCTTTAATTTGTACGCTAACCCATTTTGTGTGTTCCAAGTGCTCCAAGTGCTCCAAGTCCCTATTTCTCAGTACCCCTCGCGCCGCCCGCCCGCCGCCGCCCCGCCCCCGCCCGAACTGGAGCACATAAGAGAACTTGGAGCACTTGGAGCACTTGGAGCACTTGGAGTGCAGTCATTAGCCTCACATCCAGGGCCGGGGAGCTGAGGAGCGCACCCAGCGGGCCGGATGATCGGGATCGGGCGAGAGCTGCAAGGAGAGACTTTTTTCGAACACCTCATCCTTGACCTCAAAGCCCGAGCGGGCGCAGGGGCGGGCGCGTCATGTTGATCCCGGCCATCCTCAAGAACAGCACGACTGGGTACAAGAACGTGACGTACAACCGCAGCAGAGAGAAGTTCGTGGCGCAGGCGCAGGACGACGGCAGGCGCGTCCACCTCGGCTACTTCGAAACCGCCGAAGAGGCGGCCGTCGCCTACGCTCGCTCAAAGTACGGCCGCGCCGACGCCGCCAAGCAGCTGCAGCCCCGCGCTGCTCCCACTGCCGATGGCCTCGAGGCCATACGGCAGGCGGAGAGGGAGGGCCTCACCCTGGTCACCAGCGGCAGCACCAGCGGCTACAAAGGCGTCTGCTATCGCCCGAAGGAGCGAGGCACCAAGAAGTACAAGCTGGAGGTGACGGCTGAAGGCAAGAGTCTCTACCTCGGCTGGTTCGCCACCGCCGAGCAGGCGGCGCTCTTCTACGCCCGCAGGGAGGCGGGCAGGGACACCAGCGATCTCACCTCGCCGCCGCCGCCGCCGCCCACCTCTGCCGCCGAGGCAGTCCGGCAGGCAAAGAGGGAGGGCCTGACTCTGACTAAGAGCAGCGGCAGCAACAGCGGCTACAGGGGCGTGACCTTCAAGCCGAAGGAGCGAAGCAGCAAGAAGTACGAGCTGAGGGTGGGGTCTGGAGGCAAGCAGAACTTTCTCGGCCTCTTCGCCACCGCCGAGGAGGCGGCGCTGGCGCGCGCGCGGCACCTCCGGGACACGGCCGTCCGCCTGCTCGAGCCGCCGCCGCAGCAAGCACCTCCGCAAGGCGCAGCAGGGCCTTCCGAGGCCAGCAGCTACGAGGAGGCGGAGGACGGCTTTGACCCGGCGGACATTGCCGCTGCCGTCTCTCTCGCTGCTCTCCGACCCGCCGCCTTCCGCGAGCGAGCAGAGGGCGGCGAGGCGGCAGGCTCGCGCAGCGGAGCAGGCGGCGGCGGCGTTGGCTGAAGCGGCGGCGGGTGCTGCTTCGCCATGGGACGACGAGGCGGAGGAGGAGGCAGAGGTGCAGGGGAGCGATAGCGGGTTGCGGGGGATGGAGGTTGAGGCCGGCGCCGCAGGAAGGGTGGCGGCGGAGGTGCAGCGTAGTGACACTACTCTAGAGGTGCGAGGCAGCGACCCATTCCCGACGTTTTGGTAATTCTACGTCAGTAGACAGCAGCCAGGTCAAGTTCGGATCTCGGCGGGATCCCGCGCGGTCCCCCGCCGCCGCGCCCGGCCGCGAGAGGGGCCGAGCTAGTGGGGGAAATGGTAAATTTTGAAAGTCGCACTACAAGCCCGGCAAGCTCAGCACTGACTGTGGACACTATGGGGAGTCTATAGCTATGCCCCTTACATCCAGGGACCGACCACACGAGGGCCCACACCCGTCTCAAGACAGACAAATTTCGGTCACCGGCGCGCGCGCGGCGCCTCCTCCTCCTCCTCCTCTTCAATGAGCGGCGTGCGGGGCGGGCCGGTGGCGCCCAGCTCGCGGGGATCGAGCCGCCACCCATATGAGACGGGTTTGTTCCACTTCTCGGGAAGAAAGGCGATCCATCTCTCCCCCGCCGGCTCGTCGTACTCGGGGTCGGCGTCCCACGCCCAGAGCAGCATGCCGGCCGGGAGGATCTTGCGTGCGCGCGGGCTCCTCTTGTCGGTGAGGCCGTCCGCGACGCGCTTCACCCTGCCGGCGGCCCAGATCTTGACCGTCCTACCCTCCTCCTTGTATGGCCAGCACACCTCCAGCCACTTGCCCACGAGGCGCGTGTCGAAGGGGGGGGCCTCGCGGTCCTGCCGCACCTCGACGCTGTCCGAGATGCCCGCCGCCTCGCGCCGCTCCCGCGCGGCCTTCGCCTTCTCGAGGAGGTTCGAGACGTTGAAGATGCTCTGCTGCTCCAGGCGCAGCACGTCCGCGTCGGCGGTGCCCAGGGTCTTGATCGAGCGGACCCGCAGCTGAGGAGGCGCCGCCTATGGGGAGCAACACGTCGAGTGAGACGGGGAAGCGCTCATCTCAGAGCGGAGGGGCAGGCGAGTGCACGGAGCTAAGTGCGTCGCCGCCCTCGCGGGAGTCGCAAAGAAAGGCGGCTCCCGTAGATTGCAACGCGGTTGGTCTCTCGACGCTGATATCGCTGCGCTGCGTCGGTCGCAAGGTTAGCCCCTATCCGCGGCTGCGCTGCTAGCCGCCGTCCACTGCGCCGACATCGATCGAAAAAGGGTCGATCGAGCGGGCAGAGTCGCGATGTCTGCGCACCTGCGTGCCGATAGGCGGCACACGCAACCCTCCGAGAGAGGCCCTTTCACGCCGCCAGTAGCGTTCTCCGCCATCCCCTGCCACGCCACCAATTGCTGCCTCAGGGCGCCACACAGCCACCTTACACGCGGCCGGCGCCCTCTCGCGGCAAAAGGGTCGAGCGAGCGGGCATCGCGATGTCTGCGCACCCGCGTGCCGATGGGCGGCACACGCAGCCGAGAAGCCCTGTCACGCCACCAGTAGCGTTCCGCACTCCCCACGCGCCACGCCACCAATTGCCGCCTCAGGGCGCCAGCCACCTCTTACACGCGGCCGGCGCCCTCTCGACGACAAGGTCGAACACCGCTTCTATACGCTCTCGCCCAGCCTTCCTTTCCATCCCATTAGGTAGCTTGGGTTACGGTGGCGAGCAGAGGCAAAGCCTACGAGGGGTGGTGGAACCACATGTCGCGGCTACTGCCGGCTCGACCCCACGATAGCCTCCGAAGGCTGACTTTGAGGCACCATCATCGGACGATGTCGACGAGCTGGGGGTCGCTCTCGCGGTAGCCAGGTAGCCCTCCATACTAGTAGCACCAGCCATGGCCGCAGGGAGCGCGGGGGAGGGCGCGCTGGAAGCAACACGGAGCTCCGTTGGACGTTTTTCAAGATTAGCGTGTCAGAGTGAACTGGATTCTGGAAGTGGAACTAGAGCCCGTGAGCCGTGTCGCGTGTGTGGAGTGGGCGGTCTGCAGGAAGCGCTCGCGCCTCGCCGCCGGTCACAGGCTCTTTATGATCGTATCAATGATAGACCGCTCCACGCTCGCTGTCACACCTTTAGCGTTAAGGACAACATGCCACATCGGACATGCAAGTACACACTACAGTACAACGACCGAGAGTACGTAAGTCTACCTCCAGCAGTGAGACGAGACTCGGCCCAACGCCTCACCACGTATGTCTCAACTGGCTCCCCACGCCGCCGCCCACCCCTTGCCCGGCGCCTTGGCTCCCTAGCACGCGCGCCTCCAGCAGCTCGAGGCGCTGCTCCCAGCCTGCCGCGCGCTGGTCGGCGGTCTGCTGCGGCCCGTGGTAGAAGCGCTCGTAGTCGATGTCTTTTGGCTCCCACTCGCAGCTGTCCCAGTCCCAGCCGATGCCCGAGCGTCCAAAGAGGCGTTCGGCAAAGAGCGCAATGTAGCGCGTGTCCCACTGGCCCTGCCTTCCGAGCGGACTCTCGAGGTGATTGGAGGGCGGGAAGAAGAACCAGCCCGGCAGCTCTGGCGCGCAGGCGCACGGGAAGAGGAAGCAGCCATACCGCAGCACAAAGAGGGACGTCCACGCGAGGCTCGTCCCAAACTGCGCCCAGAAGAGGCACGGGCCGCCGTGGGGGAAGCAGATCGGCCAGCCGTCGAGGCAGTACGGATACGTCTGCCAGATGACCGCAAAGTAGATGTTGGAGACGGGCACCACCTAGGGAGTGTCTCGAAAGTGTCTCGGAAGTGTCTCGGAAGTGTCTCCGTCGGTGCTGGAGGCGGGGACCACCCACGAGTACAGCGGCGTGTAGTAGACCTACACTCATGAATCCAGCACAGGCTAGGGCTAGGGCTAGGGCTAGGTTTAGGTTTAGGGTTAGGGTTGGGGTTGGGGTTAGGAAGGACCGACCGTGAGTGATAAGGGCCACGAAAGCAGCGAGAAGACAGCTGAGTCCGCGCGTCCGTGTGTCCCGCATCTAGGGCCGTAGGCGTGGAACAGGATCATCAGGGCGAAAGTCCACAGCCCGATCCACCTAGGGAGGGTCTCGGAAGTGTCTCGGAAGGGCACTTCGCTGCCATGTAGTTGACCGATGGCACATTCCACGCAAGCTTGTCGGTCGTAGTCCATCGGCCGCCTCACCATGTGTGCGTGCTAGCCCTGCGGCGTGGAATGTGCTGGAGTCCCTCGCCCTGAGTGTGCTGCAGCGTGCGTGCCCCCCCCCCCCCCCCCCCCCGCCCGATGTCTACTCACACACCAGAACAGGATGTAGCGGTAGGTCCGCCGCACGACTTTGACGCGAGGCCCGTCCACATACCTAGTCGAGATGTGGCCGAGATGTGGCCGAAATGTGGCGAGATGCACGCCGGCGGCAACATAAGCCCGTCCACACGCACTTTGTCGTCGCGAGGTACGTCGTCGGGTCGAGGCACGCCGCGCCGGCAATGAAGCCCATCCCGCGGCTGTCGGTCGCTTGGAGGAAGCCGAAGATGGCAAAGATGATTCCGAAGTCGGAGAGGGCGTTGCCTAGTACCACACCTCTGGAGGATCGAACCCAGTGTGGGTGCAGGTCCGTGGGTGGTGCGGGAGCAGTCGGAGGGGGCGTTGCCGGTGCTCTCGGCCGAGATGAGGATGGCGGTGACCAGCGCAAAGTACGAGATGACGACGACGGACAGCAGCTCGGTCAGGATGCCTAACCTCGGGCACTCTCGGGTACTCTCGGGTACTCTCGGGTACTCTCGGGTACTCTCGGGCAGCAGCTCGGTCAGGATGCCCCAAAAGACGACGGTGCAGTAGGCGTAGGTCTGGCCCTCGTACCGGCTCGCGAGCGAGCGCAGCAGGATGCGCAGGTCGGGCCCCTGCACGAGCGAGCTGACCTAACCTCGGCTAATCTCGGGTAATCTCGGGTCACCTCGCGCAACCTCGCGCCCCTGCACGAGCGAGCTCTGACCGGCTCGCTGTTGATCGCGTCGCCGATCGCCAGCGGGATCACGATGAGCTTGCCGACGATCCAGATGAAGCGCGGCAGGAACGGCTCGTCGAGGTACCACCACTCGACCCAGGTGAGGGTGTGGGGCACCTCCGCCAAAAAGTTCTCCACCATCATGCACTCGAGGAGGAGGATCTCGAAGGCCACGAGGATGAGGCAAAAGATGACGGCGACCCACTGCAGCACCTGCGCGCCAAGACATCGCCGAGACATCGCCGAGATACCGCCGAGAGTCCGCCGAGATGTGGCCGAGATGTGGCCAGTCCCACGTCCCACGTCGGGGGCGCGCATGCACGCGGGGCGTGGGCACTACACACAGAGGCGGCGGAGGCGGCGGCTGAGGCGGCGGCGGCTGAGGCGGCGGCGGCGGCGGCGGTGGCGACGGTGGCGGCGGCGGTGATGGCGGCGGTGGGGAATGGCGGCGGCGGTGGCGGCGACGCCTGCGCGCCGAGCAGGAAGTACCAGCACTGCTGCGTGCACGGCCACGAGCAGCGGCAGCCGAGCCAGGGGGCGAAGAAGGTGGCCTCCTCGGCCTGCGGCACGCCCGCCTGCGGCAGGCGGGGGGGCGCCCTTCTTCACTGAGGCAAGATGGAGCGGAGCGAAGGGAGGGAGGGCGGAGCGGAGTGGAGAGAGAGGAGCGGAGCGGAGTGGAGAGAGAGGAGCGGACCGGAGTGGAGCGGAGGAGAGGAGTGGAGCGGAGGAGAGGAGTGGAGTGGAGCGGAGGAGAGGAGTGGAGTGGAGCGGAGGAGAGGAGTGGAGCGCCGCCTGCGGCACGCTAAAGACGTTGACCGGCTTCGGCTCGTTGTCGCCGAGAGAGCCGTCGTCCTGCGGCACGGCCTGGTACTGCACCTGGACCGACTGCCGGTACCCGAAGTCCTTGAGGTATGCGGAGATGGAGACCCACATCGCCCACATGAAGACGTTCTTCTGCTCCTTGATCTCATAGCCGAGCTTCCCCAGCGCCGAGTCCTTGCCCTTTGCTTCGAGCTCGGCCACAAGACCCGTCGCCTCCTCGTTGAGAATCGCACAGGGCAAGATCTGGTTCGGCAGCGGCAGGTCGTATGGGTGAAATTCCATGGGCCCGGTGATCATGAGCACCTTTGGCTCGGCGGCAAACCTCGCCTGCCGAGCGCTGGACTCTCGCTCGACAAGGACCAAGTGGCTGCACCCAGCGCAGCGGCACCCCGGCCTCGGCGGTGCAGCACGACGGCGCAGGCCACGGCCTCTTCGAATAGGCGATCGCTGCGGCCGTGTTGGTCAGCGCGGGGCAAAAGAATTTTACAACGCAGCGGTCCCACGACACGATTCACGCGATAGCGCACCACACACCTCTCCTTAAAATCCCTGTGTGGTGGCGGCGTGCCGTCCTCCCATCCCTCCCTTGGGGTGTCTGTTTTCTTTCTTTCTTTCTTTACGATTCACGCGACAGGCGAGGCGCGGGCGACGGCTTCCTCAGAAGCCGTCGCCCGCACCACAGGAGCAGTCACACCAAGAAATTGCGGCGCCAACAGGAAGCTCGATTTTTTTGTTTTCCTTTTCGTTTTGCCTTTCCGAGAGAGAGAGATTTTGTTTTGTTTGCCTTTCCGTGCCGATGTGTGTCCTCCTCGAGCCTGGCTGTTCTTCGCCTTTCTATCTACTCTGTGAGTGCGTCCACGCCTTGTCGTGCCAGTATTATAGAAAGAACAACATGAACATCCAACCCCCAAATCCAAACATAGAATTTTGGATTTTGCTGCCACGCATTCTTTCTGACAAAACACGTGAACAGGGCTCCAGGCCCCAAATTACGTGTAAGTGTTAGAGTTGTTTGGTATTGCTAAAAATCTCTCTCTTCTTTCTGCTGGCGAGGTGCTTCCAGCCTGCTGTGCCCTGTGGGAACAGCTGACGCAGTCTCGAGGCATTCTGGGGAATGCTTCTAGCACATCCACAAAACGGACCCTGAGCTGGCGAGGTACTCCCACGCCTCTCGGGGTTTTTGTCTGGCCGAGTCAACGAGCCTCGGCGAGACTGCGTCAGCTGTTCCCACAGCAGGCTGGAAGTACCTCGCCGGGCCGGGGGTCGACCCTATCAAGTGCTCAAGTGCTCAAGTGCTCATCTTGAAGTGGGCAGCTGTTGCTACCCAACGCGGCCAAAGGATGTCCACCTCGAGAACGTGGGGAGCAGCTGTTCACCGCGGTTTCTCTCCGCCACGGTATCGTTGCGGATGCCAAGCCGGCTCGCCTCTCGACGAGAGGCCAAGGCCATGGTCCGCCTATCGACGCTCCTACTCGCGGCGCTGGCGCTGCCGCAGTCGTCTTTCGCGGCCGATCGCCACTCCGCAGCGCCGCGGCTGACTCGAGGCCGCAGAGGCAGCGCACCCGAGACTTCGCGCCCGCTGCTGGCGGCGACGACGCCAAAGCCCGTTGGCAGCAGCGTCACCATGACAGTCGTTCAGATTGTCAACAACGTCGCGGGCGCCGGCATCCTGACCCTCGCCGCGGGTATGGCTGCGGGCGTCGGGTGGGTGCCGGCGATCGCCATCTGCGTGGCGCTCGGCGCCATCTCGGGCTACACCTTCTACCTCATCGGCGCCTCGTGCGAGCTCACCGGCACCTCCAACTTCAAGGGCCTCTGGGGCGCGACTCTTGGCGAGATCTAGCCGAGATCCAGCCGAGATCTAGCCGAGATTCAGCCGAGATCTGACGAGATCTGGCGAGATCGAGACGAGATCTAGACGAGATGTAGACGAGATCTAGACGAGAGATGAGGGAGCTCAGAGCGGCGGCACCTCGCGCTGAATGGTGCGAGATGATGTCGAGGCCATCTAGCCGAGACTCCGCCCTCGCCAGCGGCGGTCGAGCTCTCCCAAAGCGCCTCCTCGGAGCCGTCTCGGAACCCTCTCGGAACACTCTCGGAACTGCCTCGGGACTGCCTCGGCGCCTTCTCAGAACCGTTCGCGCCTTTTCGCAGGCCCGCGCTCCGCGTGGATTGTCGACGGCTGCATCGCCCTGATGTGCCTCTCCGCCCGAGATCACCCGAGATGACCCGAGATGACCCGAGATTAGGCTGCATCGCCCTGATGTGCCTCTCCGCCGCCATCATCTACTCTGGCATCCTCGGCGACGTCTTCTCGTCACCGTCGGAGCTTTCTCGGAACCTTCTCGGAACCTTCCCTGTAGGCATCCTCGGCGACGTCTTCTCGTCGCTGCTGCGGCTCGCTGGCGTCGAGACCATAGAACACAGCGCGAGAACACAGCACCATAGAACAAGCCCCACAGAACACAGCACGATAGAACACAGCACGATAGAGCAAGAATGCAGTGTACTCGAATAGAACACAGCACGGAAGATGCACAGCACGGTAGATGCGCAGCACGGTAGATATGCAGTGGGCTCGACTAGCACGCGGCATGGCAACGACAGTCCAGCTGCTCCACGACACCAAGATCGAGACCCCTACCGCAGCAATTACACCTCATGGCATGCAATCTCACCATAGGTGCCCCCTGCCCTAACCCTGACCCTAACCCTGACCCTAACCCTGAGCCTCATGGCATGCAATCTCACCATAGGTGCCCCCTGCCCTAACCCTGACCCTAACCCTGACCCTAACCCTAAGCCTCATGGCATGCAATCTCACCATAGGTGCCCCCTGCCCTAACCCTGACCCTAACCCTGACCCTAACCCTGACCCTAACCCTAAGCCTCATGGCATGCAATCTCACCATAGGTGCCCCCTGCCCTAACCCTGACCCTAACCCTGACCCTAACCCTAAGCCTCATGGCATGCAATCTCACCTTGCCCCATGTGGGTTCCCCCTCCTTGGGGGTAGGGTATCCCCATCTGGCAGTGGAGGGGAACCCTGACGGGAGATGCAATCTCACAATAGGCGTCCCCGCCTCCGGCTGGCTGCGGCAGGCTGTCATCGTCTCGCTCACCGCCGCCGTCCTCTGCCCGCTCTCGCTGCTCAAGGACCTCTCCGCCCTCTCCTTCTTACCCTGACCCTACCCCTGACCCTACCCCTAACCCCTACCTCTAACCCCAACCCTAACCCCTCACCCTAGGACCTCTCCGCCCTCTCCTTCACCTCCGCCATCGGGTGTGCTGCCGCCACCCTCTGCACACCGCCGCGCTGTGAACGGCGTCTCTTCACAGCGGTGTGGTGGCGTGCGCAGGTGCGTTGCCATCCTCTACACCGCCGCGTTTGTCGCGGTGCGCGCCCCCTCTCGACGGCGCCTCCTCCTCCTCCCTTCACGGCGCCGAGGTGTGAAGAGACGCCGTTCACGCCGTAGGTGCGCGCCCTCGACGGCGCCTACACCGCCCCATCGGAGCTCCTCGCGTCGCTTGCGCCGGAGCGCGCGCCGTCGTTCGTTCTCTCCTCGCTCACGCGCCTCGACAGCAACGCGCTGGTGGGGCCCTCCCTCTCTCCCCCTCCCTCTTCCTCTCTCTCTCTCTCTCTCTCTCTCTCTCTCTCTCTCTCTCTCTCTCTCTCTCTCTCTCACTCTCTCTCCCTCTCAGGAGCTGCTGCTCTATT